TAATGATGATGATGATGATGATGATGATGATGATGATGATAATGACGATGAACCTAAGCTCCAGCTCGAACCGGGAGATCACATAATACTTCAATAGGATAGGCGCGCTGTCCAGCCGAACGATAGTAGTGAAAGAGTTTGAATTGGGAATAGCAGAACTCGGAGAGTGCCATTAAACCACTACCATCAGTTTTTGTTCCATCATAACATCCTATCCATTAGTGCAAATATCCTGTGATTGCACGAGACACGTGATAACGTACTAGGTCTGAGGGGTTAGGTTGGTCCGAATCGGCAAGTGTTTATCACGAGGCCATGGAATTGTAATTCGCGAAATCGTTTGACAACTAGTTTCCAGGTTTCCCGAAAAAACTTGAAAACTTGAAATATTGACCTGATGGAATGCCGGTTGCGCTCATATTGGCTGTACTGGTTCCGTCTTTGAACGGAACGAGCCACCTTAGTAGTTTATGCAGTAAGATTGCAATTTCCTTATCTACAACCACGTATCTTTTCCTTTCAGACTGGTCCGGACTATTTTCGCGAACAGATGCTCAACTGGATCCATCCAGTTCAGCGGATTTGCCACTCGGTCCCTTGGTTTCTATGTACGGTTCGATCAACACTTTTAACACAGCCAGGAATCACACAGACCCACCTTACAACGCATTCACGTCGAACCTTGAAACGTGGCGTACGGGACCCAGTGAGTCTATCAATTCACTGTTCAATGGAAATTTGAGCACAGGCTATGCGCATCCACCCCATACAGTTGAACCGTTCTATCACCGATTATGTGGTATTCCGAATTCATTGAATCTGTTCGGGACTGCCGCAGCAGCAACAACAACAACAACAACAACAACAACAGCCGGTAATCCCCTGGATATGGACAATTATCCGAACCGTTTTACACAAGTGCCTAAACAAACCGATCGCGTCAAAGAATTGGATCCGACGAGTCCTAGCTCGAACACATCTCCGTCGCATATTCCAAAGGGAGTAGGTTTGACAAGTAGTGATCTAATCCCGACCGGTGCTACTCATCGGTCGGATTCCGGAATCCGATCGCAATCACCCAACTGGACTGAAGGCATCAGCGAGGAGAGACGTATCACCGAGCCGTACGATTCCGTCCCGCAAGATACACTAACCGCAACGGTCAGCCCACTTCATTCATCGAATTCTTCATCCACACCAGCATTCGGATTTTCTACTTCACCCAAACCGGCCAGTTCACACGAGTCTCAAATAGACGACACCGGTGTATGGAATATGGACTGCTGTCGTCAAACCACCGCGCGTACTTCTTATTATGCCCAACGATCGACAACAGATCCGCTCCTGATTCCTCCTACCTTTTCCTCTGTTGGTATGAACTCATTCCTGGTGAACAATACGGACATACAATTCTCTCTCTCATCTTCCTGATCCGCAACACGGGTTGGTGGGGGGGGGGCGTCCAGATGTGTGATCAGTTGGGAATAAGAGCCACGGATTCCAACAGGTCTTCGCCTGTCTCATTCCTATACCTTCCCTCCCCACCTATCCGGGGAGGTCGGGGTTGCTAACTCCATTGCATTCGAGGAATTAGGATATTTTTTCTCGTCTTCGAAAAAGAATTTATCCGCAATTTCAGCAACTCAAACATGCAGATGTATTGTGGATGATATTACTATCATCATTATCATTATTATGTGATTTTATTCCTCAAATTTTCCCTTCCACTGATCCCTATGGTGCGACCAAGCTTACTTTATTTACAGTCGAAAGTGTGTGTGTGTGTGTTTATGTAAATATCCTGATGATACCCGTACTATTCAGCATCAACACGATTGTCCGCACTCACTCTTAAATATTTGCACATACACATATATTTATACATACGGTATTCATATGCATCATACATACACTTACATATTATAACAGCCATTCTTTCATGTTTGGTTGATTTATGCTTTACGGACGGAATGAAGAACTACAGACGGATCGAGTGGGATCCACAAGGATTAGGAAACTGAGGATAAAAAGACTGTTCGGAACGCCTTGTCGTTTCAACTCGAAGAGGTACATGTCGAATTGTGGATTTAAGTGACCGTAGTTTGGGCAGCCTGATAGTGAGTTTATCCGAGATACACATACCTCAATCACGGTAACACGTTGAGGCATATAGTCCTGTGCAATCCATAAGAATTCACAACCACCGGGTTCGGAAGTTCGGTGATTGCCCAAATGCTCATGCATGAGATGGAATGATGTGTCGTTGGCGCTGCCAAACAGTCGCGTACAGTTTTTGCTCCCGAGGCAGTGGTTTAGTTACTGTCATCGGCGTTCTTTGGACCCTATGGTCCGAGGTTTGAGCCCCGCCACCGCCACCCGAATTTGGTGGTAGGCAGCTCTCCTGTCGTCCGGTTCAATACCTCGCCTAACCTATTGGGGCCTTATGTGGTTCACCTTTCAAAGTCCCGGGGCTTAGGTTGTCGGTTTCCATCACTGAGCAGCGGATCCTCGTGACTATGGGGTTCGCCCTCTTTTCTGTTCATCACACTTAGGTGTGTAACAAAATTACACTAACCTGGTACGACTATGCAACAGTGTGTCTGATTTAATGAAGTCATGTGATCAAGATGCTACTCATCAATCGTCAACTCCCAATTAGTAACCCGAAGGTTCAAGTCCCGACGGTGACAGTAAGACTACTACTGATCAGTCCTATTACGCGTTTTTGCTCAGCTCATTTTTCCATCGCATACAAAAACACATCGTTCGAATCACGCAGCATAGATAAGTTGGAATAGGTTGCCTCTCTTTTGACGCGTTCAAGGAAAAAATATAAGGTGTTTGAGAGCTGATTATTTTTGAGAATGAAAAAGCCGCTCTAGTTCCTCCACGAGTAGACTGAAAACTGAGCAATATACAAGCACTGCCAACAAGCAAGCAGTGCGTTATTTCCAGCGATCGTGTATTATCTGTTTTATTTCTAACTGTAATTTTCCTCTTGTTTGCGAGCGCGGGATATCCGCATACATACAAGACATTGAAATGCCTGAAATATGACCATAACCGGTGCACAACTAGAGGAAGTGAATGGTTGATTCCATCTCATTTTGAGTATTCAAAATAACTTCCCTTTTTGTAAAAACAAAACCAATTCACGGAAATTCTTTACCCCTTTTTTGCTCGTTTTCATCCAAGAATTTGGGTCTAAGAAAGGCAAAGTTTCCCGTTTTTTGAGTTGTGAAACTTGATTTCTCACGTATCCGACAGACTAATCGTCGAAATTAGCTTATACATCCAATTAACGGTAGAAAGTTCGTTCCATTTCATTGGCTGCATTGACTCTGAGTAGCACGGACATCGGAAACCTGTAGCTGGTGGTTCATCGTAACTGATTGCATAAAGTTCAAACTTCCTCAAGATCTGAGTAAGCTTACTGCAACCCAGTTCCCATCTGTTTGTCGGCTATTGCCGACAAAGGTTTCATCGGATAGTTGTCGTCAACTGTGTCGAATCTAGCTACAAGCTAAAATATTTTCTATTTTGCCAATATCTTTGGTAGTTCCCGATGTCTATCACAAGTACCGATGAGTTCGCTAGAATATCGAACTTACGTTCCATGCGCATTCCATGCCAGGTTTTCAAACCTGCTACAAGTCATCAAGTGGTGTTTGGATAATAAAATATCTTCAAAGCAAATTCTTGATACAATTACTTGTCTCATTTCATCTATGCATACTTCACTGTCGAACTGATCATTTTAGCCAATTTTTAATGAAACCAGTCATTAATCGAATTTTAAAAATCTTGTCCAAATATTAATATGTCCCGGTGGTTCAAGAATATTTTTGCGAGCAGCACTGTTTTATCCTTATCCTACATCACACGAAAAGTGTTGCATATACACCTGGGTTTTCGCAGTATCTCCATGCATGGGAGAAAACTGATACTCACTTTTAGCTGTTGAAACAACAATCAAGCACAAAACTCAAATATGAAACTTGAACTACTTACTTTATTGAAAGACAATGTGATAAAACTGCAAAATAATATCGCTACAAAAGTATGGAACCCACAAGCCTTGGGTTCGTTTCAAATGAGGTAAGATAGCGCGGTGTATAGCGACCACTTCTCGATGAAGGTCGGACACAGTTTTTGACATTCCCGGACCGGTCCATCTGTATCCGACCCTGGACACATGAATAAGCTTGGGTTAGGACGTTTACACGAAGCAAGTGTAAATATCTGAACGTGAACGATAACTTCTGAATCGATTGCTCACAGTGAATTTGAAGTTCGATAACCAGCTCCAAATCAATGGGAGCGTTGGAAGAGATAGTGCAAATCGAAGCGTTTTATCAAATGTAGTACAATAGTTCCGAGGTGATCTAACAATGTAACCTACCAAGGTTTACTTTGTTGCTATTTGTTAAGTAATCAAAGCAGAAGCGTAAAATCAGGCGCCTACGGGAAACTTTCAGGGAAAGCAGCGCAGGCTGATTCGCTCTGGCTCCCATGGTAGGACACAGGCCACATTTTATGCCTTAAGTGGAACAATACAATAAACTGTGTGGGATGTGGTGTGAATCAGGTACAGAAAATGACGCACAGAATAGCACAGAAAACATTTCAAATACAGGTCCAATTGGCAGGAGAGTAATGCAGGGTTTGATTCAATTCCAAAGGGGGAATTCGTCATGTAAGGAGCAAATGAAGCGCGAACTGAAAACCTGGCAAGTACTGTACAACTGTTTCGACCTGGTTGGGTCTCATTAGCAGTTCGAATCCATCGATCCAACTAGAGATCGAACACGGAACCTCACAAACAGAACGCAAGGATGCCACCCACCCGGCCACCAAGCAGATGATCAGACCTTCTTCCATTTTCCATTTACACGATATAGCACAACCCATCTTTGCGAGCTTATAGGGGGTATCGCGCCTCGCTCAGCTCAATACTAGCCTCCGGGGTTAGGATCCCGAGTTGGATTCCCAGTTGGATCGATGGATTCGAACTGCTGATGAGACCCAACGAGATCGAAACAGTTGTCCGGTAATTGCCAGCTTTTTAGTTCACGCTTCATTTGCTCCGTAAACTACCAACTCCCTCATTGAAGAAGGTTCGTTTTATTGTAGAATGAAACTTAAGTGACGTGGTCCCCAAAAGGAAAATGCGTCTACATCAATGATGAGTAGGAGTTCAACTTAAACAAGCCAAACGCATGGAACTACTATTCGCATGATTAAGGGAGGAACAGTGTTGCTGTCGATGGATCAGTTATGAAAGTTCGCTCTTAGTATGGGGGGGGGAATTTTATTAAGTTGTTGACGTTAGCACCGGGCCACTATCGTTTTAGAACCTCGTGGGAGGTATGATACAGGCGATACCAGTATGCACTATTTTAACCAAACCCTTAGGGGGGTACACTTCCCTTTAATTAAAAACTAATTTTTCATTACTGTATGGATACCTAGAAATGGTGGTCGTCTTATTAGTGGAGATGATGTGAAACAGTGACGGAGTAATAAAATTTACCACGGGATTTATTTTTCGTTAGCTTTTTCTTTTCTCTTGTAAGCTTTTCGATCAGAGTATTTGTGAGGCACAGCACGCTTATTTTTGTCTATTTGTATTCCACAAGTGGTCCCTGAATCATAGCATAAAATACCAGTGACTGTTCAAAATGTGCAGTCAATAAGTCACAAGATCTGCCGTCTATTTTCCCACGCCTTCCTGGTCGATCGAGTTTCGAATCAGTTTAAAGATCACTTGACACAGATGGAGATTTGATCAGATTTAGTTTAGATATTAAACATACATTAGAATAAGAGAACCTAACGAATTTCTAGGGGCAGAATTAGTTTGCTCGTGGTATGTAGGTAAATTGCATCAGACAAAATGAAAATAACTATCCGTGAGCGTCTTACTCATTTCGACCAGAAATTTGAACAGAATTCCGGCTAAACACAAATGGTGATGATAGTCGTTATGGAACCAGAATTTTGTATTTTGGGCCCGCCTTATTTCATTTATCAATTGTACGGGATCGTCCAGACACCTATGGCATTTAAATTTGAGCATTTCCGAATGTGTGATTGATAGAAACTCACAAGTATGGGTCACCGATTCAGCATGCCGTTCCAAGTGCAATTCAGAAGAGAAGGATGCAATTCAAATTGGTTCTAACAGGACGAGGACAAACAAAATATATTTCGGCTGAACAGAATGACTTCAGTTATTTCGGATATCATCGACCGGCCGCGAGCGTACATTAGCACCCGTGATTGAACGATGACCCGGTAACGGACATATCGGCAGGTAGATCATGCACACAGTGAGCTAGGTTAAATGAAGGTCAAGGGTCAAATGAACAACTGAAGTCAACAACAGCAAGTGAATGTGTGCCGTGCAACTTTACGGTCGTCTGTTTATC